CCCCAAAACCCCAAAACCCCAAAACCCCATTGGAAATTTGAGAGTAAAATTATGAAATCAAGATTGAAATAAAAATTTTAATTTCTCATTGATTCAAGTTATAAATCTTTTTTCTTTTCCAAAGCCTGAGGAACTTGAACTTTTAGAGGACTTATCATCAGAGAACTTTCCTTTGGTCTTTGTACTTGCATTCTTTGGATTAATATCAGCACTGGAGATTCTCTATAGCTTATCACTAGTCTTATCTTTATTGAGAGTGTATGTAGATTATTTTTTGGCAGCTGGCTTAATAGTATTATTTTTTTATTATGTCACGCTAGGAGTGCTCTTATTGGTTTGCTATGATATATCATTTTCAACTATCGCGTCTTCTATTTTCTTAGGTTCGATTTTAGTTTTCTTTTTGTTGAGAATCAACTCTGAGACAGTGGTGTTTCCATTTTATAACTAGCTAGTAGTATTTACATCAATATTCTAACTCATATTATTGCTTGACTCGTCGGGCATTTCTATTAATGTTTTAACAAATAAGATATTTACTTGAGAATTCCTCCTCTTCCTTTTTCTTTTTAGCTTTTCTCTCTTCCTCCTCTTTTCGTTCTTTTTCCTCTTCGTCTATTCTGTCTTGCTTTGCTTTTTAAATGTCATCCTTCAGTCTTTGCTTACCTCTCCAGACATTATAAGCAATGAAAAGAAGATTGGCTAGAACTAGTAAGAATATGGAGACTATGAGTGCAACACCTGCATAAACTTTAATGTGTATTTAAGGAGTGGCATCAGAGAATATAAATATCAAAATGATTAGAGCTGAGTAGAAAGTTTCATTAGCCAGAATATAGCCATTCATGAGTGGAGTCTAGTAAGGCTTAGCAGCTACCAAGTATAAGATATAAGAGTGCGAGGTTGTCAGAATAAAAATATACTAGAGGAATATGTATTCACTGTCAATGGGAAGAGTCAAAAGCATCGCTGTGATAAGTCGTCTACCAAAGAAAAATGCGATGTTTACTACTCTCCATCTGGAAGCCTTATCTATTTTCAAGATTAGACTGTTGAACCTTGCTTTGCCTGCTGTCTCTGATAAGACTGAAAACCTTCTAAGTAAAAACGCAACTATGAATACTGGAGCAACGATTGAGATTACAAAGAAAGCATAAGAAATGAACAACGCAACTTATCTCATTGTTGTTGTGTTGTTAACTTCAATAATTTTCATCAAAGAAAAGAATGTGAGATCAAAATATGCCAGCATGAAGAGTCTAAGATAAGTGTTATATCTAAACTGTGATAGCCTGCTTAGCAAGAATATCCCATACGAGCTAGCCTTTAGAGATTTAGACATAGCAAATATAACTATGTTAGCAGCAACTAAAATCATTACCAAGATACAGATATTTGTAAGTGATTAGATAAGTTTACTGACTGGCAGATCATAGTACTCGTAGTTGATGTTAAAATAGTCATTATTTAATTCTTCGTAAATCTTGGAATTATCAAATAAGATCAGGTGCGAAATAAGGAATGGCTTGAATAAGTCATATAAGTAAGGAATGAGTTTGAAGTTGTAGATAGGCATAAAAGCAATCAGCTGCATATACTCAATCAAAGTCCAGAGTGGAAGAAATCCAACGTTCTTGAAAAGCAAAAGAAAGAATTGTATCGCTATTATGGCAATCATGATATAATAGAGTGCAAGGGAAGTGCTTCTCATGAACTGCATCTTTTCATCTATTCCAAAGTGTGAATCTACAATAAAATCTTACCTCTAAAATCGAATTGCATCTCAATTCTCTTGCTAGCAACTGTACTAGCTAATATCTCATCCTAAGGGTTAATGACAATTAGAGATTGATTTAGACACTCAAATATCAGTAAGTCATCTCTTTTGCTAAGAAGTCCTAGCAAATATGGTTCTTAGAATCTAGCCGTGAAGTTAAAAGTGGTGTTACTGCCTTCTATCCATTCAATTTGTAAACCTCTTAGTTCTTCTCTTTATTTCTCAGTATTATTAGCATAAACCTTGAAAGTCTTGTTGAAGTTATTCTAGATAAACTTCATATTGACTGGATGAGAAAACATGAAAGTACCCTCAGAGTTTTAGTTTAAATATGGAATAGTCATTTGGATCTTAGTGGCATTATCCATTTCCTAGCCTTCATCAATAACATCTCCATTCATCTTTATTGTCAAATAATAAGTGTTCATCATATAGTCAGAATTCTTTTCTTTCAGCACAACTGAGAAATAATAGGTTCTACCACTGTATATCTTGCTATTGGGGTTAAAAATTATTGACTTAGTTGCATTAACATATTTCACAAACTTAGGAAATTCCTGATTTTCCATTGAGTTAATGTAAATTTCACCTTAGTCGTTGTCCTCTGGATCCTGAAAATCTGGTAGTTTGTATGTAATATTATCATTATAGCTAAGACTCCATACAGTCTGAATATCTACCAAGAATTCTGGAGCGGAGTTAGTAGAAACATTAATGAAGTAGTTGATTTCATGAAGATTGTTTAGCTCATCACAACCTCTGAGTACCATTTTTTAAGTTCCAACCAATCTATCATCATTCGTCTGAACATATACAATCGATTTGTTAGCAGGAGTGTTGATTCCTAGATTTGCAAATTTCTTGGAATCTGTTCCATTTTAAAACACAAACTCAAATTCTGGACTCATTTTCTATTGTAGGGCAATTACTCCAGACTTAAATAAGTCATACTGCTTGGCTTTCTGCCCATAGAAATAATTCGTCTGAGTAATGTTGGCTGAGTTTGATGAGCAAGGTCTTGGGATTAACATTGAAACCTAGAGAGGAAATCCTCCTGAATATGGAGACTTGTAAATTGCTACGAATTTATTCATTAGTTTGTATATTCCGTCTGCTGTAATTGGCAAAGAAGACAAGTATTGTGTGTAAAGCGATGATTCCTCTATTGTAACTAAAAGTTATTATATTAAAAATTGATTGGGTATGTTTACAGTAGCTTAAGAGGGAAGATGTTATTTTAATGTCCTAATCTCTAATGCATTTCATAGTGATATTGGTATCATCTAGGTATCTCATTGTGAAAGGATTTGTTTTTGAATTTGCAAAAGTTGCTTAATTGAACTCAGTAGTGTAGCCAGCTGCAGTTCCAGCCCATATGTAGTAATTATCAATCTTTTATAGAGCTGAGAATCTTAAATTAGTTGAAATCTTGTTATCTGATTTAGCAAAAGTAATATGCTTAGCCTTGGTAAGATAACCTAAATCAGAAAACTAGTAAAGCATGGCATCTGTGACTGTATCATCCTGGAATAAAGTACTCTTGAATGCATTCTAGGCAGTTGAAATAAGTATGGTAGATGTTGCTTTTTCATCATCATATGTCAGACCATGACAGGGAATTCTCTAGCCGGAAATGGAAAAAAGAGTCAGATATTTGACTTTTCCCAGCTAGTCTATTCTAAAAATGCCACTGACTAAGTCTATTTAGTTCTCTCCACATCCATAAATCTAGCCAGATTAAGCTTATGCATAAGTAGTTATATCAGTTAAACCAAAGGTACCTAGTCCAGTTATACTTCCACGCATAAAGCTTAACCTATATTTAATGTTGGCATTTCCTTTCGAAAATTTGATGACTGAGCCCATCAGGTTATATTACCCTACGATGTAAAAATTTTTGTCATCATCATTATCATTGAATAAATATCTTGGCTAGTTACCAAATGCAGGCGGGGCTCCAACCGGCTTGTTGTAATGCATGTGCCAGTCTATTTTTAGCTTCTCCCCAAGATTGTTATTCAGAATCCTAATGATATTGATTGTATAAGCTAAGTTCATGGAAAAAGTAAGGTATAAGTAAGTCTATCCATCCTAGGAGTCCCTCTCATCTAAGTAGATGCCACTATATAGATAGTACGTTGGTGTTTCAGTTTATGCTGGAATTGGGTCGATTGTTAGGAATTGTTTTATTGAGCCATCTGTCTTGCTTAAAGTCATCACGATTGGTTTTGAATTCGCGTTTCCAAGTGCCATCAAATAAGTTCCATTAGATGACATTTGTATTCCAGTTACTTCTTATACCGCATAAGAAACATTGTAGAAGAAATTTCCCCACATCCAGTTACCATTCACATCAAGAGCATATATAAATCCGTGATCATTCTCAGCAGGACAGAAGTTCCCAGACTAAGATTTTCCTGCTGTGAAGATGTACTTGGTAATTTTATCAACTTCTACGCCATTGACGAATTCATCTTTATCTCCTCCAGTAAATACAGGAAACATTTTATAGTTGCAGATTGGACCATTTATTGCGTAGGAGCTATATACAAGTAGTTGCAGAAGAATACCGATAGCAGCGAACATTTTCGTATTAATCATTGAAAAAATTATTAAAATCCTACATAGTAAAAGCTGAAATAATATAATCGCTGTTGTATTTATACTTATCTAAGTTAATTGTTCCAAGGGGTTTTGGGGTTTTGGGGTTTTGGGGAGATCGG